GCGGGACTTGATCCAGGGACTCCAGGATCGTGACCTGAGCCGAAGGCAGTCGCTTAACCGACTGAGCCACCCAGGCGCCCAGCCGTTACCCCTTCTAAACAAGGGACACCGAGCACAGAAGCCCTGAGGTCCTGCTAGTCACGGTGTCCGGGGCTGGGCCGGGTAGAGCAACGCCCTGCTGGGGACCTCACCCCTCCCCAGGTTTGGCCTGACCACTGCAGGGTCAAGGGCAGGGCACCGTCCACGACAAACACCAGCATTTACTGAACCCCATGTGCTGGTCCCTGCAACGCTCACAGCTACCCTGTGAGGGTACAATTATGGTTCGTTTTACGGACGGGTGAACTGAGGCAGCTCAGATGGGAGACCTACACTGCCAGAGCCACTGATTCTCCCCAAGTCCCCTGAGCTGGATCTCATACTCCATCAGGGCGCAGAGGCCCGTCCTGGGCACCCCAGCAGACACACCCAGACCCACCTTCCAGAAGCCCGAGTCCAGAGAGACAAGTCACTGCCAGCCACCACGGTGTGGCCGAGGACCTGGGTCTCTCCCTAGAGGCCTGGGGGCCTGACCAAGTTAAGGGACTTGGCTGTAAACCCACAGGCTGCCCTGAAGGAAAGGGGAGCCCCCAACTTTCGACGCCACACAGCGAGAGGCAGGGGGTTCGCCGCACAGCCCCATCCAGTGCGACCCGACCAGAGTCACGGGCTCCGCTGTCTACACCACCCCTTCTCCTAGCCCTCGAGCCTTGGGTCTAGGGGACAGGGTCAGATGCCTACAGGGTATGGGGTCACCACTCACGGGAGAGAGGAAGAGCGCACTCATCTGGGACACCAGTCAGGGAGCATGCTTGGCCCCCTAAATGCAGACCCCAAATGCTGAGCACAGCGAGCTGATACAGGGACGTCACCCCAGCCCGGACCACGTGTCCACCCCTCCCCGAGATCTAATGGCAGCTATCCCCTGCGACCCCCAGGGGGCCACCCTGAAGGCAGGTCCCAGAAGGCACATGAGGGCCCAGCCCCAGAGAGTGAAGGACCCACACCTGAGACCATCAGTTAGAGGCACAAGACGCCTCAGGCCACCCTCCCTGGCGGTCACGGAACAGAGCTGGCCATCCACCCCAGCAAGTCCTGACAGTCACGGCCTGGGGCCTTCAACTGAGCACACCAGACAATCCACCATCTGGGCCTCATGGGGTGGCCGCTCCCAGCCTTACCTTACCTTCTCCAGTAAGCAACCTTTAACTGTGATCAAAAGGCCATAAACCAGAAAACCACGCACATGTCAGCCCAGGGCAAGACCTCCCACCTGCCCAGCCACACGGGGCCCCTGCTGGCCCCCAGCACCCCTCACAGAGGCTCGGCCCAGGACTCAGCCCCGATGGAGCGGGGACAGCCTCCTGGGCAGGCGTGGGGGCCAGGCCGGCCTCCACAATGGACCTCCTGTTCCCACTGACCTTTTGTCCCTTCTCGGCCAAAACCCCCAGTGTCTGGGCCGGATGTTTTCCTGCCAATGCTCTGATGGGTGGGCAGGGAGAAGGGGCTGCCTTCCCTGAGGGAAAAGGAGGAAGGGGTCTGAGAAGAGCAGGGCGCCAGACATGGAACCAGGCCACTGGGCTCCAGCTGCAGGACTCAGCCCCTCTGTCCCCTCGGGTGGACCACGACCCCATCTGAGCAGACGAAGGCCTGTGGGGGGAGCCCTGGCCCAGCGCCACCATCTGCTGAGCCCTTTGGGCCTGTGCCCAAGGCAGATATGGGCCCCTCCCACCCACTCAGGGTGGGCCAGGAAGAGGGGATCACGGCCCATCCCAGGACCAGACACGGGGAACCCCGCTTCATTCCGGCGCTGCTCTATCTTGGAGAGTCCAACTGGACACCCAAAGGACAGGCCCTATGCCCAGCATCCACGTGTGGGACTGTCTCACCTAGAACACTACCACCCCCACACCCAGGAAGAAAAGATCTGGATTCTCGGGGCTCATGAAACCCCCTCACAACATACCGTAAGTGAGGACACGGAGACCCGAGGGAAGCAGGCCAGGGTCCCACAGCAGGCTGCACGGGAAAAGTCTCAGTGCGGGAATGCACAGCCCCGTCCCCTTGGGCCTCTGTTTCCCCCTTTAACAAAGGGTGCAGAGCTGGGCTCCGTGCCCAGCCGGGGGCCCTGGCAGCATGGAGTCGGGAAGCCAAGACAAGAGCCAGTGCCCCAGAGAAGTGCACCAGGGCGCTGGGAGCCTGGGCGTCAGGGGAGTGTCCGCCGTGGAGAGCACAGAGCAGCAAGCCATGGAATTTGCTTACTCAGTGCCCCAAGTGCTCGAAGACCAAGTCCCCAGAGGTCAAGGGGAGCCCCAGTTACAGGCCTAACATGTCTTCTCACGTGACAAGCAAGTGTCCCAGCCAGCTACATGACCCATAAGTAAGTCTCCCCTGCACTTCACTCTGGGGCCAGGGGCAGACATCCAGGGGCCCCGAAGAAGGGCACACGGGATCTGAAAGAATCTCCAGTCGAGGAATGGCTTCTGACACACCCCCAGAATCTTCATTCCAGGAAAAATGGACACACTTGCTGCTGGAGGCTCAGCTGAGTGGGCAGTCCATCTCCACTCAATAGGTGTCCCGCTGCCCAAATCCACAGCCCAGGGTTACGTGGGACCATAACCCGCCCAGAGCCAGCTTCCAGGGAAGGCAGCCCCCTGCCCTAGACCGGGAACACCCAGGACCCTCCAGCCTAACCACACTTCAGGGAAGCCAAGACACTCTGGATGCCTCCCCTCCCACTCTATCCTTTTGGAAGCAGGAAGACGGCACCCAGACAGGGGCTGAGCGCGCAGAAGCAGAACAGCTCCACTCCAAACAGGGGCCCGGCTATCCTGGGACCCACTTGGGACCTGCACAGCCCTAGACACCAAGCCACTGTGTTTCAGACCCATTTCACAGATGGGACAAGTGAAGCCAGAGGAGAGCAGACCCATGCCCTAGGAACTCCTCCAGCCACTGGGCCAAAACACCAACATTTGGCCAAGACCCCAGTGTGGCAGCCCAGAATGACCCGAAGAAGCAGATTTCCCAAAGACCAAGGCGGGAAGAACAAGGAGCCCCCACACGTATAATCTGAACGTGACCTTCCTATGCCCCCAGCACTGCCCTGGAAGTCACCAGGGCCAGCGCCCTGCCCTGGAGAGGGCTTTGGGGCAAGCGCCTAGCTGTGTGCCAGCTCCCAGGGACTGCAGGAGCGCGGCAAAGACAGCCAACCCGGCACCGATCCTGAGGGTCTCCAAGCAGAGCATGGCTTCCCAGGACGAAGGGAGGGGCTGGCTTTGCAGCCCCACCCCCAGGACCAAGGCACCCCCAGGATGGCCCTCCGCAGGAGTCCCTGGACACACAGCCCACAGCAGAGCAGGGTGCCCTCCCTGAATTACAGACAAGGGACAGAGGCCCGACGGGGCAGGCCCTGAACCCACACCAGCTCTCCTGCCCTGTTTCCCGTGTGCTTCTGGGGAGAGACTCTGAGAGGACCCCCGACCCCTCTCGCCACGCACCACGGCCCCGCTCAAGTGCCTGCAAGAACTCTCTGGGGCTTGGGGGAGACAGCGGGCAGCACGAACACAACCCATGAGGTCCTGCGTTGTCGCTTCATGGGGGAGGCTGCGTGCAGGGGCGGGGGGGGACCAGAAGCCCCCCCAGCAGCCGGCCAGCCCCACGTCCTGGCTCTACCACCAGCCTGCTCTGCACCCGGGCCTCGTGCACCGGCCATATCAGCCTTCAGCCTCGGGGCGCCCCAGGCGGGGCCCAGGGCTCACCTTGACGCTGCGGTGATGGACGCGGGAAGGCTGACACTTGACGCTGCTGGTGTTGCAACAGCCTGCACAGCGCTTCACCTCCACGCACGGGGGCCAGATCAGGAAGTTGGCAGACGTGGGGTCGACCTGGCTCCGAGGTATCTCATAAATGACCGTCCTGGTCTTGCAGACCGCGGGGATGGCTTCCTCTGCAGACCAAGAGCCAAGGTGAACGCACGGGCCGTCCCGCCAGCACCCAGGCCCACCCTGTGACCTGAAGCCCTGAAGGGGGTGTGTCCCCCCGCGGCTGCCGCTTCGTCCTTGTGGCACATCGCACCACCCCAGGACCTAGCAGAGATGGAGAGACACCGCGGCCCCCGACACGGTGCATTCGGCCTGGCCCAAGGAGAAGCGGTAGTGAGGGCCGGCGGGGGAGGCCCCAAGGCAAGAGGGCATCAGGCCCCACAGCCAGTGGACACATCAGGGCCCAGCGCCACCAGCTGCCACAGGCCCCAGGCCAGGCCCAGGAAGGGAGGACACCCGAGACGGGCAGCGGATGCAGGATGCAGGATGCAGGACGCAGGACTCAGGCCTGCCTCCCCAGCCCACCGGCCGCAGACCTGCTCACTAAAGGCCACCAAGAGAGCACCCCACCAGCTGGGAGGCTGCCCTCCCAGGAGGGACTGGCTCTACCTTCCACTCTGTGCTCCTCAGCACAGGCCGATCTGTCCGACCCGAAGCCCCAAAATGCACTGGATGCCAGGGCACCACTGCCCGATGAGAAACCCACCTGGGGACCCCAGCACATGTGCCTTCCTCCCCACATGCTGCCTTACTAATCCACGCCGGCCCCTAGGCCCACTGGGCCTTGAGTAACACGGGGCCAGGCAGGCAGGCCTCCAGAGCCCAGAACTGGAGAGAGCCACTCCTGGCCGCAGAGAGGCTGGCATGACCCCCGTGGCCAGCACCAGGCAGGGCCCCGTCCTCTGCAGACAAGCAGAAGAGCCTGAAATGCAATCGAAGGACAAGAGGGGCCTTGCCCCAGCGCCAGGGATGGGTGCCAGCCTCTCTCTTGCCCGTCCCCCCACAGGGGCCAGAAGACCTCCTGAGAGCCCTGGGAGACTGGGGGTACTTGCATCCTCCCCGGTGGCCTGGGAGCACCTGGGAGGGGGCGCACGGGGTCTCCCAGAGCAGGCCTGCCAACAAGGAAGGCCGGATGCTGGAGATCTGGCCACTCCAGTGCGGGAAAGGGCTCTGCTCGCGGCAAGCAGCCCAGGGCCCACCGGCTGTGAGGGGCCTGGGGACCCTGGCCAGGCGGGGCCGAGGGTGGAGCCAGAGAGACAGTCCAGGGCTCCCCATCTGGAACAGGACAGGCCTGCTGAAGCGCCCTCACCTCTGACACCGGTCTGGAGGACAGAAAATCTACAGTCCTACAATAAACGTCATCTGGGTGGGCCCACCTGCCTTCAGGAGGACTCCTCACCCACACACCGCGCTGAGACAAGAAGCTACGAAATCTACCTTCTGGGGGGCAACTAAAGCTCAGAGGGGGGCAGTCACTGCCCAAGGGCACACAGCAGGGAAGAGCAGTGTGGGGGGCGCACACCCAGGCAGTTAGGAAAAGCAGGAGGAACCCCCAGAGTGACACGGGACTCGGGGGGTCATACCCCCAAGCCCCGCCTCCCAGGGCAGGAAAGTGCAGGCCAAGATCTCTCTGAGCTGAGCCAGAGCCCCGGAAACCCCTCGCAGCCCCAAGGGGCCAGACAGACATGGGGATGCTCTGCTAGGGGACAGGATGCAAACACCCCACAAACCCACGCCCGGCGAGTGGGGTGGGGGCCACGGGCAGGGGCGTCTGCTGGCGGCCCATTCTGTGGCTGCCAGCCAGGCCACCGCACTACAGACTGGAAAGGAAACACGACCACGTTTGCAGCGAGGCCTCCTCCAGAACAGGCCCCAACAAGACCGGGCACTTAAGGAATTTATGATGGCTCTCCTCTCCTGGAAACTCTTGGCCCAGGCCAGCCTGCAGCAAGCAGCAGACGGGCCGGGGCAGGGAGGCGCCCCCGGCAGAGGAGGGAGGCCTCCGGAGAGATGGCGGGCGGCCGGGGCTGAAGCCGCTGGGGCCCCTGGGCCTTTGTTTTACGGAGGAGCGAAGGGATGACTCCCCTGAAGGCCCCATGGGCGAGAGCCCCCCAGCTCCCCCAGAGTCCCCAGCCCCAGCGCCCCCTCCCCACCCGGCAGACCCAGGGCTCACCAATGCTTCTTTTCCTCCGGATGGGCACGGGCGGCTCCTCAGGTGCATGCTTGGTGGCATGGCTCCCGTGGGCTCTCAGACTCGCTTCCAAAGCATCCTCAGCCCCTACAGATAGAAAGAGGAAATGATGACCAGCCAGCCCACATCTGTGGGGCACCCCGGGGCCTGTCCAGCAGTGCTTCCTACCTGCCTCCCCCAGACAGATGGGGTCCCCAGGGAGAACCGTCACTCCCACGTGTGCAGAGGATGAAAGACTCCCAACTGCCAAAAATCGCCCGCCGACCTCTGGGAAGCCTACACGGAGGTCCCCCAAATGTGGCACCCTCTGCAGCAGGGGTGCAGACCTGTGCAGTCGGTGCGGAAGGGGCAGGTGATCCCCCCGGTGAGGGCTGGACTTCCTCCTCCGTAATACCCAGAACCACCAGGCCGGCTGCCCCCAGGCAGGCCCACCTCCTGGGAAGGGCCTCGGGGACAGGGCCCCTCCAATGGCACCGAAGGAGAAGCGCACGCGCTGCCACGACTTCCCTGCTGAGCACGTGTGTCCTTCTCTCCCTCTTCTTACTAAACCAGCTCTGGGCCGACAGCTGGACTCCGCTTGCTCCTGAAGTTAGTCCACTCGGAGGCCACAGGAAATGCAAGTGGGGAAAGTAAAGGGACAGGAACCCTGGTGCCCAGCAGAGGGGGCGGGCTGGCAGAAGCAAAGCGTGCTGCCCTCAGACACAGACCCACGGTCCCAGGGCTAAAATCAGAACTGGACCCTAATCCCCCAGGCCTGCAATGGCACCTGGTACACACACTACCACCCTCCCCCCCCCCAGTGCCCCTGGGCAGCCTAGGTGAGTCCCAGGTCTCTCAGATTCCTAGAAGGGACAGGTGGGTGGGAGGGACGCACAGTCCTGCCACCTGCCACTGAGCCCGGCCCGCCCCAGTGACACTGCCCGCACCTGGATGAGGGAGGTCACCCCTGGCCTGCCCGCCTGCCTTGGCCCCCAGACCCAGCTGGGGGGGTCTCTTTCTACTTCCCCCTCCACCCCTGGCTCCCCAGTGGATGAGCAGGGGCACCGGGTCCTGAGAAGCACGCCCCCACAGCCAGGGGCTCCAGCAGCTGTGCAGACCTCCCCCGTGTCCTGCTGTCCCTTCCCTGAGAAACTCAAGCAGAGTCCTGGGCAGCAGCCCGGGCCACCGGGGCCACAGCGACTGTCCACAAACCAACAAATCCAAAACCGCTGCTCACTTAAAATGAAAACCAACAACCAGGCAAAAGGTACAAACCACAAGAGATGCGCCCTTTCCGAAAACTAGAGTCTGGGAAGAACCCAGCTTCTCACTTAAAATGACTCAATGTTCCACTGCCACTAATTTTTTTGAGACCCAAAATAAGATCAGAACACAACTATTCATGCAATAAGAATTTCCCATCAACCAACTGTTACAAGAAGCATTTTTTCACGAAAAAGTGACATTTATGAGTCACGTCCTAGTGGTAGCCATCTTGCCATCCTCAAACCAAAGACCTGCTGGCCCATCCTCGGCCTCCAGGAGAAAACGCCTCATCGGCCACCATCTTCCCAGCCTCCCGAAAGCCAGGTGTGAACCGCTCCGCGGGTGCCTCGATCCTGACACATCTGCAGGACCTGACGTGGATGACGAACAAGGACGTGACTGCAGGAGCTGCCAGGAGCCCCGTCCTGGCCGCTCGCCTGGACAGACAGAGAAGACCACAGCCCGGCCAGCTGATGGCCAGCGCTGAAACCTGAACCGGCGGGTGGACTGCTTTCAAGATGAGAGCCCTTCTCTGCCCCCTGATCAAGATGGGTGGTCGCCGTCCATGCTGATGGGGGGCGGCCTGCAGCCTGACACTGCTTGAGAATTGACCCAGCAGTGACTTAGGAGAGAAGGCCCCGCCTGAATGAGGTCCTCAAGCTGCTCTCAGGACAGCTAATCAAGGGGGCTTCCCTTTTGCCTTGCACGCACAAATGCCCAAGTGACAGCTCAGGATGGGGACAAGTCCTCCGGCCTTCAGTCCTGGTGGAGCATTAATGGCCCAAGCAAGATGGCGACATTCACGCATCTGTTACTCAGTGACCCCACCACACGGGCACCAGGCCAGGCTGCTCGGAGAACAAAGCTCCCCCCTGGCCGCCTCACTGCTGAATGGCTGGTTTCTCATCACAGTCGACACACAGGTCCCAAACTCCAGCCACTGGTCATTCAAAGTCCACACGCTGGTCTCTGCACCCAAAAGCCCCACGTGGAAAGTCAGCTACCCCTGAGCTCCATGCACACCCTGGGGATTCTCAGACTCAGTGCCGTCCTCACTGCCTCGGGCTTCATCTGTAAAATGGGGACGCAGCCGCCCACTGTCCCATCCAGGGTCCCATCCAGAGTCCATCACAAAGCCCCGCCAGGGAGGAGAGGGCCTGTAAGAAAAAGCCTTTTCTGCTTCCCAGGCCTGATTAGCTCTACACCCAAAACACCGACCTGAAGGGGCTGGGTCACCCTTGGAGTTACAAAGAGGGATTTAGGACTACCAAATGGGTTTCTCCACACCCCAGCTCCTTCCTAAGGGATCCCAGGCAAGCCTCCAACTGGACCTCACGGGGGTCCAGGGCCTGGAGAGCAGCTTAGTCCTCAGATAATTGGCCCCTCAGCTGTTTACAACCTTCCACAGTCGCAAGATCTGTTTCAACTCTTCACTTTGGGCAGGAACAGGTGTTGGGGGAAAAAAGAGGGCAACGTGAGCTCTAGGAGCATCCAGTGGCAGCTTCTGTGCTCGGAGACCAGCACTGCCCTGGCTCGCAGCTTGCCCCTGTGAGAGGGTACCAGGCCAGGATGGAGACCCACTTTGGGATCGGTGTCACACAGGGCCTCCTAGGGGGAAAGCTAGTGAGCAAAGAAGATCCTAGAAACCCCCCTCTCTTCTCACTCCAGTTTCCCAGGCAGGAGGAGTTCTACCCCAGAATCCAAGTCAGACCCCAAACCATGTGACAGAAGGTGGAAGGCAGGGGCGGGGGGCAGGAGGAAGACGAGCACCCAGGGCTTTTTATAAGGGGGCAATTTGAAACCAGCCAGGGAACTAGCTGGTGCATCCTGCTTTTTCGGTTTGGACCCTCCCAAAGAGGCTCTGGGCCCAAAAGCCCCCAGGTCAGGAATGCCATCAGCATAACCCACCAAGCTGCAATGCAAAAAGTGTTAATGGGTGGGGGGTGGGTGGGGGCGGGGCTGCAGACACCAGAATAAGAATGGTCCCAACAGAAAGTGAATGGCCCATTTCCCGGTGGCATCCCAAAGCCGTCCCACAGGGAGGCCCAGCCCTGCACCAACCTCGCTCCACCAAGCCAAAAAAAAAAAAGCCCTGAATCTTCTCAGGGAGGTGGCCTCCCCACTTTCACAGATCCGCCAGGGACCAGCAGAATGTAGGCGAGTGTTTTCCTCAGCTAACCAAAGCCAAACCCTTCTCCCCAGGGTTACACATCAAGGAACCAGACCAAAATCCCCCCTGGCCCAACTCTGATCTCCAAGTGAAATTCTACCCCCTTCCTGATAAGGATCAGCCAAAGGATTTCCTGGGTCACGAAACTACAGAAACCATCGGCCTTGCTAGCAAATGGTCTTGGCATGAAATGAAAATAGTTCAGGCCTCTCCACCACCATAATTAGGTACAAATTTCCAAATGACTAGACCATGTGATTTTACTTAATTCTTCCCCCCACCCCCCCTTTGAGGGTAGTCTGCAGCGAGAACGAAATCTTCACTGAAAATTGTTCCAACCAACCTCTACCACCTTCAGCCTTCTGTCTGACAAGCCCATTTTGGGCCTCTTTTTAACCAGACATTAATAAGATGTATTTCTGTAACTAACCCTCGCATGGGTGTTCCCCCACCAAGTACTAATTTGGAGCAGGATACCGCAAAGATGTGGGCCAGAATCCCTGCCCTCTAGGAAAAGGTTCCCTCCGGTCCACACCGCAGCCACCAAAACCACCAGCTCCCACCCCACCAGGGACAACCTGGGTCCCTGGTGACCTTTCCCCACCAGTCCCCTCCAACTCCGCGACCAACACCAAACAGTTTCAAAACTCTGCGTTTACAAATAAACTATTTTCTAAAGTGCCTAGGCTCCAGGGCCCAGGAGGAGCCCCAAAATAGTCCCCAAACACCAGATGTGTCCAAGATGCGCCTTTTTATTGGCCTGTGAAAAGAGAAAGGCACGGGTCTCCTGCAACCACAAAGGCTGGGCCGCCGCAGGAGCGGGGCACCAGCTCGCGGCGATGACAAAGCGGCCCCGGCCCGGGGGCGGCTCCTCCCGCGCGCCTGCCCGCGGGGCGTGAGGCCAGGGCTCTGCGCCCAGGCCCCGGCCCGCTCCGCCGCTCCTCCCGGCCCCACAGGGCAGGCCCAGGGCCTCCACACCTGGCCCCGGCGCCGGCGCCCTCTACGCCGCTGAACTTTCTGTGACACGCGCGCGGCATTTTCCTTAAATGCAAAAACAATCCCGGGGCGAGCGAGCAGCTCGCAGCCGCCGCCGGGAGAGAAAGTGGGGATTGGAAGAGAAACTCCTGACTCATCCGCCTGGGCTTTTATGGCCCGGGATTGGATTCTGACCTTTCGGTGCGCTCTTGCGCGGCGCCCGGCCCGGCCCGAGCGCGGGAGGCGGCGCAGGGCGCACACCCCGCACACCCGCCCCGCGCGCCGAGGGAAGGGGCGCGATTTACCTACGGAGTCTATCTCCAGGAGTCGCTGGAGGTCCCGGATGCTGTGGATCTGACTGTGCGCCAGCCTCTC